GCTGTTACAGAAAACATAGCAAAAGTTCCTCCTAAAAACTAAAACGAGAGCTACTTTGTAATCCAGGAATCCCACTGCTAGGTGTTCATTCAAATGAAACAAAATCACTGTATCTAAGAGACACCTGCACACCCGAGTCTGTTGAAGCCTTACTGGCAATAGCCAAGATACTGAATCAGCAGATGTGTCCCTTGAAGGGCGAATGGATGAGCAAACACAACCTATGCACAAGACTGGGTAGCATTCAGCCAGAAAGGAAGCAATCCCATCCTCCATGACCATGTGCCTGGAACTAGAGGGCAGGGCATTAAGTGAAGCAAACCAGGCACAGAAAGGCAAATGCCACACATCCTCTGGCTTATTTGTGGAAGATAAAAAAGTGGTCTCAGGAAGAGCGGAGCAGCGATTGCTAAGCCTTAGGAGGCTGGAGGGAGCGGGTGGAGAGCAGGTGCCAAAGCGGAGCGAGCTGGCGCCGGAGCTGGGCAGCCCCTCGTGTATCGGGAGGAAGCAGGTGGAGGAGACAGGTCCCAAGGCTCCACTACAAAGCAGTAAAAAGCAGACGGAAGCACCAACTGCCCCGACTGACCATGCACCACGCAGCCGCCACACTGTCCACAGCCACACACAGACGCTGGGTGTCAGTTCAACACAGACTGACGCAGAGCTTCCATGAAGGAAGAGGGTAGCAAGGTGGCATAAAAGATCAGGCCCACTTTGGATGGTGTGGTCAGAGGCCAGAGGTCGGAGGTCAGAGCCTTCAGCAGCCACCATAGCCTCCACCCCAGGTCAGAGCAGTGTTCAGTCCTGGGAGGTGTGGAAACAGTCAGACACGAGTATTTCTTGGTAGCTTTTGGAGTGCTTAGGCAGACATGATCAATGGGGAGCCTGCCGCCACCATGTAAGGGTGGGTGCTGGGTTCTGAACTGTAGCACCCAAACTGACCTGTTGATCGAATACCGCTGGGGAAGGTACAGTTCTAAGCACGTTTCTGTGCCTGCATGGAGACTGTATGACCTTTGTGACTAGCATCCACACAGCGCCCTGGAGGCAGAGGCGAGGCCAGGCTCAGACTTCTTCCAGCCACAGCTGGGTGGCCAGCAGCGGAAGCTTCACGGCTCACGAGTCCACTCTCCCACCTGAGCTACTTTCCCTCTGTGGCTTCTCCACATGGCAAAATGGAGGAGTTGGTGGAGAAAGCGAGCCTCCCTGATAGGGAGAGGGGCGAGGACTGGGAAGGCCCCTGGGGGCCAGCAAGGGTTACCCTGTGTCCAGACGTGGGGGTAGACAGCCAGGGGACAGGGTGGCAGGGCACGGGTGAGGGTCTGTGGGCAGGCCACAGACTCGCAGGAGACGCCGTCACCCTGGGTGGGCTGCACTGTGTCTCTCCCCACAGTCGCCCTTGGCATTGGAAGAGTGGTCTCAGGTGGTTTCTCTGGCAAAAAACAGGAAGACAAGAGCTTAGAGAGGAATTCTGAGGGCTAGAGCTGCTTCTGCCTCTGTGCACAGTGTCTGACCTCCTTACAGTCCTCTGGCCATGTTAACCACACATTCAGAGGGGGGAACACACCAAAACCCTCTGCACTGCAGAGCCCTGGTGTTCGGAGAGAAGGCAGACGGAGCTCCTGAACGTTTGCGCCTGCCTCCTGCTCTTCTAACCCCGACAGCAGCATTTGTAGGCAGTCATGTAGTTCCCGGCCACTGCGGTTCTGAAGGAGGAGCTGTGCTGGTGAGGACCCTGAGATCTGTCTCTCCTCCAGGAAGTGGGGAGCTGTCAGCTGGGGGACGTCTTTGAAGGCGCTGGGCAACCCTGCCGCAGTCTAGGACAAAAACAGCCCGAGGAGACACGTGCAGAACTGGTGATGCTGCTGTCCATAAATCTTCCCTGTGAGCCCAAGTGACCGCTAGAGGACAATGAGGAGGGAAGGCGACGCTGGCGCCTCATCTGGCGTGCGGGGGAGGCAGGAGTTGGGGGGGGGGGGCTCATGCAGGCGGTTCTGGTGCCTCCGGGACCCTGACCTTGCCTGGCCTCAGGATGATGGCGTGTAGGCTGAACCTTTTGGGTTGTGTCATCCTGGTGGGCTGGTGGCTCTACCCATGGCCACAGCTGCTTGGTGGCCCGAGAGCAGCAGTCGCTCAGCAGCTCTGAGGCCAGGGCGCTGGGACTGTCCCTGTCCTTCACACCCTGTGTGTCCTACATGCCAGGGGATTTCATCGTAATGCCGCGTTCCACTGAGCCACGTCTTGTTGCAGTATCACGTCACAGCTTGCCATCTGTTTTGCATGGTACCGTACACAGACGTGACGTTCGAAGTCTGGAAAATCTGTTGCTTAAACCACAGTGTGTCTGACCTCATGATGCTGCTTGGCTTTCTGCGCCTGGGGTCAAGCAGAACAGGGATGTCTGGGAGAGACGGGGCGCTTGACAAGGCTCCCCCCATGCCCTTCCAGGCCAGCTGCGAGGGATACTTGTGACCCACACGGCACAGCGGGAGCATGGTCAGGGCCCTGAGTGTGGCAGTGCTGTGGAGCTTGGCGACAGCCACAGAGGCATCTGCAGCAACACCAGCCCGGAGTCCGGGCCGCAGGCCTCAGGCCAGCACACTGCTGCCGAACATGCAGCATTTAGAAGATGAAGCATTGCAAAGGTAGAGGAGGGAGGAGAGGGGCAGGGGAATCGTGGTGACTGGAGACCCCACTGACTGTCCTGCTGCGGCCCCTCCATAGGCCCTGACGCAGAAGCCCTGCCTAAAAGAAGCCCAAGCCAGAGTGGAATTTGCATAGTGACTCAGTATTGGAAATACTGAAGCATTCCACGTGTGATCAGACACTATGGCTTTGCCTCTGGAGGCGTATCTGTCAGTGTGGGTGTTTCTGAGATGACTGTGGAGGCATTTACTGCTGCAGCTGTGTGGTGGGAGGGTCAGCTGAGGAGCAGACCAACTCGGCCGGCCCCACGGGCAGCAGTGTGTGTACACTGCCACTGGTGGGCCGGGGTGAGCGCCCTGCTTCCTGACGGTGGGCTGTCAGGCACGGCAACGGCCTGTAGCTGAACACTTACCCAGGGCAGCAGGACCCATCCGGCAGGGCCAATGAGAAGGTGCAGGGAGAGCCACTTTCTTGGGTGGGACAGGCCAGGTGGCTTGGGAGAAGCACCTGGTGGCAGCTCCACCCCGTGTGCTCACAAGGCACCCAGCAGACAGTTCACAGGTCAGCAGAACGGGTGGGGGGGGGGGGGCAGGGATCTGCTTCAGGAATGACAGAATCGGAGTGCGGGCCTGGTCCTACTCCCTCTGTCCCTTCAGACAGGAGACAGAGCGCTTTTACATGTGGATGTTCATGTTGGCCAACTACAAGCAAAGGTTAAGCCTCTTCCTCTGCTATCAAAACAGTATTTTATCCAACTAGCAATTTGTGTCTGGATAAATCTGTCGTCTTCTGCACTTGGTCAGCAAACCCTTTCAGAACTGGCCTGAGAGCCAGGACGAGGCAAAGGAAGTTTGGTCCTTGGAGGGCTCTCTACTCTGGGCTCCGCGCCCGCGCGGCCACAGCTGCCTCTGTTCCACTAATTGGCCGCCTGGTGGCTCAGCTGGCATGAGGCACCATTACTCATGATTCCAGAAAGATTTCTGCATACCCACTGGGCATGGCACCTGCGCCCAGACAAGCGGGAGACATGCGTCGAGGTGAGAGATGCCCTGGTCTTGCTAACAGGCACCTCGACCTGCCGGCTTCTTTGCCATAGCACCAGGCTATCCTAAGGCTTCTCGGCATCTGGTGGTGGGTCCTGGCACAAATAAGAGATGGAGAGGAAACTGTATAGAGCGCAGGGCTCTGCAGTGTGCCAACTCTTGCTAACCACTGTCTGGTAAATTCACCCTTAACCACCTGAGAGAGATAGGTCTCTGGTACCTCAGGTCAAAGACATCGATGGCAGGTGGGGTGCAGCTCAGCAGAGAGGCAGGTCCACTACCACTGGCAAGGTCAGTGGCCCACACACTGTGGGGCCAGGATGTCTCTATGGCTGTTGCTAAGTCCCGCACTCTTGGGGCCTTGGAGAACAGCCCATCACAATTACAGCAATCTCAGAGGAAGCCCTGGGAAGCGCCTGAGTTTTCCTACCCCAACTGCCTGAATTGCTGCAGCACTATTCACAAGCAATATGCACAATTGCAGGGTCTACCAGTGTGCAAGAGATGGGGTGCTGCAGCATCAGGGGGTTTGGAGTATTACTGAGCCTGGGAAAGGCAGAAACCCTGGCACAAGCAGCGAGACAGTGAGCACAGGGGACTCTGCAAGACAAACAGGGAGGCGTGTGACGCATTCCTGGGAGTGCTAGATTACTGGACTCACAGAAGTGACAGTAGCAGGCCAGTTACCAGGGCTGGGGCCACGGCCGGGGCCAGGGCCGGGGTCGGGGCTGGGGCTGGTGGGTGTTGGTCAAAGGATGTAAACCTGCACTTAGGCTGGAGGAATAATTTCACACCATGTTTTAAAACATGGTGACAACGTTAATAACCACATGTTGCAAATTGACTACTGTTTACAAAATTATGTTCCAAATAACCAGAAAAGAGAATTTTGAGCAAAAGTTCCAATAGAGTGAGTGATGTTGGAGGAGGCAGAGTGTACTGTCTGCTCTGGTCACCGTCCTTCACGCGCCCATGTCACGGTATCACTTGTACCCCACAAACGTACAGAGGCTACGTTTCAATGAAAATTCACCAGGAGAGTCGTGCAAGGTTCTCAGCATGAACACACAGGGTGGAGGCAAGGCATACGCTAGTGGGCAGGACTCCGCCTTCCAAAACACCTCTACACACTGAACGTCTCACTAGCCCTGCCTGCCAGCGACTGAAGGTGATTGCAACATAAACTGGGCAGGGTCCATAAACTGAGCCCTCCAGCGAGTGCGACTTGGTGAAGAGCTTCTGCACGGAGTGCACCAGGTGCCGTATGCTCCCCGGGCTCTCGCCGCGCTGCTTGCGGGGCTGGGTGCTTACCTGGAGGTAGTGGCATGGCCGCAGGGCAGGTTTCACCTCCTGGGGGGCCGGCGGCTTGTCCAGGTTCAGGGAGCTCTTGCGGTAGGCCTCCTTGGCCTGGCTCACCGTGAGCGTGGCCCAGGAGCTGCGCTTCATGTACTTGGCCTCGGGCGTCAGGGCCAGGCCCTCGCAGGCCGAGCACTTGGCGTCACTGTTGCTCTTGGAGGTCTTCAGGGACAGGTCCCCGAAAGGGCTGGGCAGGGCCTCGGGGTAGCAGTGAGTGAGGGAGTCCATGTGGTGCCGGGCGGCCACGCTGGGCGTGCGGTACGTGCTGTCACTGTCCAGGTTGTCCTCCGAGCTCCACCAGCTGCTCACGCTGGACTTGGGCTTGCCCTCAGGCTTGCGCTCCTTGCTCTTGCTCCGCTTGCCATGTCTGGAGTGGTGGCCTTGGTGGCGGTGGTCGTCGCCCCGGCCGTCCCCTTTGGTCCCATTGACATTGCTCTTGGAGGAGCCCTCCAGCGAGTGCGACTTGGTGAAGAGCTTCTGCACAGAGTGCACCAGGTGCCGTATACGCCCCGGGCTCTCGCCGCGCTGCTCGGGGGCGGCCGAGGCTCTCTGGTACTGCAGCGTGTGGAAGCCGTCCCTGTGCAGCGGCAGCTGCTTCTCGAACTGGTCCAAGAGGTTGGCGGGGATGCGGTTGGCCTTGGTGCTGGCGTGCGACATGGTGCAGTCGTCCCTGGTGTCATAGTGGGAGCTGTAGTGCATCCTGGGAAAGGTGCTGCTGGACACGTGGTCGCCCAGCACCACGGGCATCAGCACACACTCCGAGTGCACGGAGCTCCGGGGCGAGCAGCGGTGGTGGTCCAGCGGGCAGCTCTCGGCCGGGCTGAGCAGGTAGGGCTGCCGCACGTCCTGCCCATGGCGCAGGTGGTCGTGGGGGTGCTCACAGTCGTCCGGGGACGTCAGGCCACACGTGTGACTGGTGCACAGCTGTGGCTGGTTTCGGCTTCCGGATAAGCCTTTCATGTTCCTAGGGGCGGGGGAGTATCTTTCCTCATTGAAGTGCTGCGTCGGGGACCATGAGTACTGCTGGTCTGTTGACAAAACAGAAATGTCACTTAGTGTCTGTGGCCATACTGATGGTAGCCTCGTGTCAGAGAAGCGACACATCTGACCCCTCATGAGCCACCTTTTTAGCCTCAGTGTCCACTGGTACTCAGGGCATTCGGGGCCGGGATCCTGCCATGCCCTTATGTGAGAGTGGATGCTGCTCCAGAAGCACGGGAATGCTCAACTAAAACAACCGGCTGCGGCGAAAGCGCCTCCTCCAGGCCCCTCACCTGGGCACACTCACCCGCTGTCCCTGCCAGCTCTGCAGCAGCACTGGAGTCCTCCTTCCTGAAGGTCTTCAGTCGTACTGGCTTGGCTGCCCTGAGGTCCCAAGCTATCTAAAACCTCTCCTGTCATGGTCCTGTGGACCCCGGGCAGAGCCAGAAGTCCCTGGTGCCAGGCCGGCAAGCAAGGTGGACGGAGGCACACACCATGTCGTTACGAGCCCGCCTTCCCTTTGCGTGCACTCAACTCAGAGTGTCACTGTGCTTTTGATCATGCCTCATGAAGATACACAACATAAAGACACTCAGAGAGGGCTTCAAGAGCTGTTCCAGAAAATGGCAAGAGCCACGGGCTAAGCATGTTTAGTGGAACATCTTAAGAGGGAGTAATAGCAACGTGTCTTTTATTGTCATAACTGGTTTTTTTTTTTTTTTTTTTTTCCGGTCCTGGGGCTTGAACTCAGGACCTTGTGCTTGCCAGGCAAGTGCTTATTCTACTGAGCTATCTCCCCAGCCCATCACTGTTTATTTAAATATTTGCTCTATAGTTTGAGCACCACTTTCACAATGACAAATATTTAACATTAAATATTTGTTAAATAACTCATCAAGTCTCAACAGATTTTGTGGCATTAACAAAACACACGATTGTGGAGGGAAACAGCAGTATTTCCACTAGATTTGAGCATTTTGGTCCAGCTTAAGAAATCTGAAAACTAACCTCTGGTGCTTAATCAGCAGCACTGCTTGCGAGCTAGCGCCGCCCGCATGCGTGCAGGAGCCACAGGGTGGTCCAGTACCACTCGCTCCTCTACGGTGGGCAGCCAGATGGCTTGCTACGCTCATCTGCCAGCACAGGGCCACAGGGCTGCCTGCCGCACTGCTCGAGGACAGACCAGCTCTTGTGGGCATGTGGCTGCGCACACAGCCTTACCTCACCCCATGGGGGTCTGGCTTCACATCTCAGGTTCTCTGCGCCCCCTTGGAATGAGTATCCTGAGTGTTTCCTTGGCCTCCAGCCGCAGGGACGCTCTGCCCTGGGGTGGATCTAGGGAGGATCCCCAGGGCACCCTACATATCAGGAGTTTGCTGCTGCCTGCGAGAGTCCATTCTGCGAAGACTGGGTGGTCTGACCTGCAGCACGTGGCACATGGGTCACCCACATCAGGACCAGTCTTGGGGTGGGCTGCTGACACAGAGCCAGCTCTGCCTTCTTGGGTGTGTGGCCCTGGAGGCCCTGACTCCACTCTGCAGCCGTGACAGTGTGATGGGCCCAGAACAGTGTGTCAGCCGGTCAGGGCCAGGCCGAGGGGCAATGGATGGGTATTACCTTTGTTAGCATCACTGTAACTGATCAGGGTTCACACTCACTTGGGTCCTTTGTAAAGTTCAGGGTTTAGGAAACCTTCAGGGCTAGATCTTAGGATTCTGCACAGAGCCCTGACCCCATGATTCATCTTGCTGTCCCTGGTTCTGCGGCAATCTCAGGACAGGGCTTCCCTCCCACGGGGGCTAAAGAGGTGGGACACGAAGAGGGAGAGAAGCCCAGAGCCAGGGCTCTGAACAGTGGCCTGCCGAGAGAGGCCTACAGCAATGGGCTCCCCAAGGACATGCATGCTGGGCCGGCTGGATCCCAGAGGTCTGGGCTTCTCTGTGTTTTACCTGTGTACCAACTGTGGTTCAGGCCAGGCCCAAGCCGGACTCCCACTGTAAATGAGTGGACATGGCTGCCTCTCATCCTCGCCCTTTCCCTGCCCTTTGCCTCATCCTGGGCCCCTGCAGAGGAATCTTGTTCTGGTTGCTCTGCGGGTCTTTCCCCACCATGTCCCAGAATGGCAGGCTTTCTCAGTGTTGGTTTTCCAACCACTCTGCATACTGCCACTTGCTGCATCTGTCCTTAGAGCTCAGGGCCCAAAGAGACAGCAGAGATCCGGTCCAGGGCTGACTCCTCCCCAGCCACTACCTACCAGGATCAGCCACCGACTCCTTCTACCTTGATGCCCTCACACTTGGTCTATTTCCCCCACCTTCTATGGCTCCATCTCTGGCCAGAGATGATCCTGGGGCCGGAAGTCACTTCGGAGCTTGGGGAGCCCCTGCCTGAGTCTCAGCATGTGGACACAGCAAGGGCTGAGAGACACAGGCATCTCCTTGTGCCCAGCTCAGCTCCTCAGGTCACTGTGTGGCCAGGTGACCAGTGCAGGGCTTGCCTCAAGTGTTCCACTTCAGGCTTCAGCACTACAAGTGCCCAGAGCATCTCTGACACAAAACCTGTGTCAAGGACAGGTATGACTTCGAGGTCACCAGGAGCCCAGGTGGAGAAGGACTGTGGCCAACAGTGCCCACATTAAAGAGGATATCAGGGCTGCTGGCGGGACCTGGGCTCACAGAGGCCCCTCCTGCCTTTCCCATGGCTTGAGGTCCTCCACACAGGGAGCTCTGCAGAGCCTCGGGCTCAGGACAGGTTGGGCACACTCTCTTCAGGGGGCGCTGTCCCAGCACTCAGTGCCTTTCTTCCTCAACAGCTGCTACAGCACCTTCACTACTGGAGGCAAGAATTAGAACAGATTGCACTTAACATAATTAAGAATAACTTAGAGAGGAAATTCAATATGCAGCTGTTCGATAGCAACACTCCACGTCAAGTCCAGACTTAGTAGCTGGACAAAGTTCTCACCTCTTACCGTTAGCACTGCTTCTCCATCAGCATGCAGTTTAATGCATTTCTCATTCCCTCCCTGGTAGCGAGTGAGCCCACCACGGCCTCCCTCACGCATGCTGCCCCTGAGCATGCTTAGCCTGCCCTGCAGTGAGGCTGCAGAAATGCAGGGCTCTGCGACAGCAAACCCTGGAGAGCTGTCCATGGCACAAGCAGCCTGCTGCGGCACGCATGCGTGGGTTCACCACCACGGGTGTCGATGATAAAAGTTTAACAACATGAATTGATTTGATTACACAACATGCTGACAAGCTTCTCACTCTCACTGAGGTGGACTGCACCCCGGGTGTGTGGAAACTTCTGTACTATCTCTTAAAAGTGCCAGTAGGCTGCTTGACCTTGGGCCCTTCCACGCACAGCGCTGCCTCTTCACGGCCCGAGGAAAGGGGTAGAGAGAAAGAGAGGGAGACTGTCCCACCTGTGGAAAGGCCAGCTCCCCCAGAAACGGCGGCTGCGCACAGGACGCCCTGGGGCAGCCTGCTGGTCACTGGAGGGCCTGCCCAGGCTCCCCGGGGCCCCTGGGCTCTCCACCCCTGCTCCCCTCAGCACAAAGTGGCACACATGACCAGCGAGCTCCCTGGAAGCCCGGCCTGCCCCGCCCTGGGCAAGTGTGTGGACGAGGCCACTTTGCCAGAAGGAGCCTGCTGAAGCCCTAGGAAGGAAGTGAGAGGGCGAGACGTGAGTGCTGGCAGCGATGAGCACTTCTGGGAGGCTGGGGCAGGGGAGCCAAGGCTGAGCCTAGCCCAGGTAACGACCTAGCAAGACTGTCTCAGAGTGAAACAAAACGGGGTGGGGACAGAGCTCAGAGTAGAGGCTTTGGGTTCAGTCTTCCGTATTGAAAAAACAAAAACTGATGAACCATTAGCCAGACTGTGAAGAAAGACTAAGAGTTCTGAAGTCAGAAGTTAATATGTACTACCCTTGTCGAAGCACATGGGATTGTCAGAGACTACTGTGAACAACTACGCCACCAGATCAGGTACCCTGGATGAAATGGAAAATGCGTAGGAATGCACAAATCACTCCAAGAACAAAAAAACATCTTGGCAGGCCAAACACCAAAGAGATTAAAGCAGTAATCAAGGGTCTCTCAACAAAGGAAAGCCTAGGAGCCAGGGGACTCACGGGTGAATTCTACCAGGCAGTTAAGATGGGATCACTCCAGTGCTTCTCAGACTCTTGTAGAAACAGAGAGCGGGATGGCTAGGCCCATGATTCAGCAGTTCCATCGGAGGGAGGAGCAGCAGGTCCCTGACTGATTTCCAACACAGACCAACATGTTGTGAAGAAAGGAAACCTTTGCAGAGTGGCTGTTGCTAGTGTGAGGGTCCAGCGCGGGCGTGTGCACTGTGCGCACGTGCTCACGAGTGAGCGTGGACTTCCACGGCAAACTGTAAGCTCCAGGAGACAGGCAGACAGCTGGGCTGGAGCTGCTTGCCCGCTAACACTCTGCTGCCTCAGCAGCTTGGGGAACCGCTGACGCTTCCTTCTCCAGGTGTGGAGCAGGGCTGCTGTGACAACGGACACGCTCATTCAGGTAGCGTTCCAGGCCTGCAGTGAGCACACGGGAAGTGCTGGTCGTGGGGGCACTAAGCTGCTTGTGTTCTGCGCCTCACCAGTTTCCGTACAGGGGAAATTAGTTCAACTGTGTTAAATTGAAATGTTTGACTAGGATTAAAAATAAAGAGGTGGGAGAACCTGGAGAGAAATCTCAGACAGGGAGTAAGGGATGACATTTGCCTGGACAGGCATGTCTGGGCAAGCAGGAGCAAAAGGAGGCAAAGCCAAAAGCGTGCAGCTGCCAGCTGCCAACTGTGGCGGAGGAGGGGCCACTCAGGACGTCCTTTCTGTGGTGCACATCCCTGGGGGCGGGCAGGGCGGGGGAGACACAGCGTCAGCAAGAGCTGGAAGCTGCCCACGTCGGGCATAAACCACCTAAGGGCAGCAGTGCTTGCACTTTACACAACTGAAGAAGCCCTTCAGTTCACTTGGAAATTCTCAGCCTCTGTGGAGCTAAATTGAACACCATGGATTTCGGCTT